GAAAATCGCAACTTTTTATTTCTTTCTGACTTTTTTATTTAACGATTCATATCTGCAAAAATAAAATTTCTTGTAGGTTACCCTATGTATCAGATAGGGTTAGGATTTTTTTTTAATTAAACATATATAGTTATATGGGTTTATTTCTGGATTCTTTGCTTTCGCTATACTAATGTGGAATCAGTCAGGCGTTTGAAAAAGTATTGCCACCAAATTTAAAAAGACAGACATTTTTATTCCTTCTCCTATATACCGTTGTAAATTCGCTTATTCTTACGTTTTTAAAACATTTGTTTACAGACTTAAAATAAAAATATATTTAAAAAATGTCTAAAAATTATGAAAAAAAGATGATTTATAAATAATTTTTTTTTGATAATTTTTTATATTTTACATCAGTACAACATTAAAGTGACTTGCAGTTGAATTGTCAAGGAATATTGCATGTTCACTAAGCTGTGTAAGTGTTAAACTACATGGGTAAGTCAGCCATTTCAATTTCTCTTCATATTTGCTATATACTTTTATATCAATACCCATGAACGAGGCACACCCAATTATTTCTGCATCAGTTGCCCAAGTTGTGTTATCACTCATACCGCTTTCATTTAGATACGTTATTATTGATTGATTCATATATAAAGTCATTTCATCATTAATATGAGTACACATATGTTTAACAACTTTTTCTCTTATAAATTCATAACTGCATTCACTGCCTGTAATGATATACGATATTGCCCTAAAAAAGCAATTACCATTGCCTATGGTTTTGTGTATTTGTTTCGACGCGAAAGTAGATTAATATCTCCAATAAAAATATTTTTGGTAATACCAATTCCAAATTTTTCAGAAATAGAAGCTCTCATTTTAATAGTTGCATATTTTCCGATCTTATCATTAAAAATTTGCATATCAATTTCATCAAATGTGATTTCTTGTTCATCATTAGTTATTTTTTCATTATATAAACATAACTTTGTCAATTTGTACTTTGTTTTCAAAATTTGACCTTTTAGATTTTTCAAAGTGCAGTTATTTGTGCTAGAAATAGAAGTTACAATGTATGGTCCAGTCCAAGGCTTTACAAGTTTACCACCTTTTCTATCATCACGTCTGCTATTTCTTAGTTATACTTTTTTATTTGTGCTAATTTCATTATTTGGCGCAATTCTCTTGTTGTAATCATGTTTTTGTCTTTTTTGAAAATTTTCAATATTTTTATAAGCATCGTCAAAAATTTTATTCTTCATTTTATTCATTGCATGAAAGGTATCTCAAACTAATTTTTTGTTAGAGAAATCACCATTGCTAAGAGCTTTATCATCATTAAAGTCAATTAAATTGCAATCTCTATCAATAGGAAGAACTGCTTCCCTTTGGTAAAGCAATGCAAACGGTGAAAACCAAGTAGACTTGTGCTTTCTAACTCTTAAAGAAAACAAAACACTATCAATAATGTATGGCCATTCCAGAGCAGCCTCATCAAGCACTTTTACTAATATACACTTTTACTAATATTGTTTGATTTTGTCTCTCTACTAATCCATTAGCTTGAGGATGATATGCACTCGTAATTCTTTAAATTGTTCCTGTTTTCGAGTAAAGTTCTTTAGAAATTTCATTTACAAACTCACGGCCCTGGTCATTTATTTGAATTTCAAAACAGCCATGTCGACATATCTGTCTATAGAAAAAAAAAGCCAAAGCTTTAGCAGTTTTATCAGTAATTACTTCTGCTTCAACCCATTTACTTGAAGTAGTCGATTAATACAACCAGATATTTGTAACCGTTAACTTCTGGTAGCTGTGTTAAATCGATTCCTACCTGCTTCGTATTGCATTTAGGAATTGAAATATTTTGCAATGGTTTCGACTGAAGTTTTCTGTTCCTTGACTTTTGGCATTGGTCACATTTGGAAACATAAGTTCTAATATCTTTTATCATTCCATGCCAGAAAAATCTACTTTGAATGTGATAGGTTGTGTTATTAATACCTGTTACAGGTATTAATAACGATGTCTCTGTTGAGTTTAAAGCTTTATCTGGCCATACAGTGTATGACCAGTTAAAGCTTTAGACTCAACAGAGACATCGTTTCCTGCATGAACAAACTTTATCATGTTTTGTTGTTTATCTCAACTCCAAATAACTTTTCTCTAAAAAAAAAGAAGCTGTAAACCATCAATATAGTGAGAATCAAAACTAAATTAACTTTCATTATTTATTAAATAAATTATTTGTAAATATTCGTGTTTATTTGGTGACTAGATTCTAGTTGTAAAATGACAAAACTATTAAAACATTTTGAAATAATAGCATACCTTTGCAGCTTTATTTAAATGATATAACTCATTGTTATCAACTATAAAGGGCTTAGTTTGTCTTCTAAAATTGGCTTTATCGCCTTTATTTAAAACTTCTTTTGGATATATTTTGCATTTTAAGTAACTAAAAATATCTGCAAATCTGGAATGCATGTCTTATTGATATGCAGTTCCGCTAATAACAACTTGGGAGTACAAATAACTTACAATATAAATAACTACAATATAACTTGGGAGTAAAAATAAAATAGAGAGAGTAAAAATCTCATATGCTTTTTTCACTCCGCGGTAAAAACTTCATACGATATTTTTACTGAAGAGTAAAAAAATCACGGGAGTAAAAATCTCATACTACACCGGCCTAGATCCAGTGCCGTGGCTACTGGGTCCGAGGCCGCCTCTTCCCCCACCTTCCTCCTCCTTAAAAAAAAAACCTGTCATAAAGGACCCAAAATCTTCAAAATTTTCTACTAGATATTACTGAATAAAATAAAAAGCTCATTATATTTGCAGAAGTGGCCCTAAATTTGCAGATGGAGCTCGTAAATTTGTTGGGTTCCCACTCCTATTGGGGAGCCTTGCGACGGCTCTGGTTAGATCAACGTGAATAAAAAATGAATGAAACTTTTTAAAGCTATCATTAAAATTTTTCGCATTTATTTACAGCTTTTACAAATTTTAGTCTAAACCTTTTAAAAATGACGAAATAATAACATAATGCCACGAGCCAAATGTCAAACTTGCTTTCTATAATGCCATCTGGCAACTCTAACTCTATGTGGTTTATTATAATCCGCGGTTGTCCGCGTGGTCTAATTTATGTATGCAATTTTATGTGACGAAACCATGTATATTTTATACTAAATGGTTCTGTAATAATTCGGTATTAGTGAGACTAGATTAGTGTTACCAACTTTATTTAACTTTTAACTTCTATTGACTATATTAATTCTGTGAATATTTTTTGAGGGGTACTAAGTTTATCAATTTCAAAGATTGAATGAACTGATGTCATGATGTTTTTCAAATAGTTCTTATTTACCTAAATAATTTTAAGTATCATACTTAAAATTTGGTACCTAAAGTATGGTATAAAAATACTGAAATTTGGACATTTATTACCTAATATTAAATTAAGATCTAAAGTAAAAGTAACCCACCAGTAATAAAGTGTGCAGAACAAACATAAACATAAGAAAATTTAGGAGACCACTGCTTGCTTCATGCACTGCTATCTGCAGCACGGTTTATTGCATTTAGCCACTTTTTTCTGACGATCTTTATATTTAGGAAGATAATAAAACTTAAGTTCTGGATTTTTTAAAATTTTGTTTATATAAATCTCTTTGGCATTTTTAAAAAAAAATACTCAATAAACGTTATTGTTTTAATACTTTGTTTTCCCCCCGATTATTATTATTATTATTTATTATTATTTAAACTCAATTTCAGTTGAACAGCTTTGCCTTTATAAATACAATCACTTTATAATTTATATAAAATCAGTAAACAAAACAAAAGTTTTTTTATCATATTTTTACATAGTTAAAATGAAAAATATTGACATTAATTCATATATAATTATATATGAATTAATTTCAATATTTTTCATTTTATATAATTATATTTTTCATATTATATAATGCAAGAAAACTTAAAGTTAGCTGATCTTAATATTTTGAATGCAGTTTTAAAATGTCTATACTACATTAGTAAACATAAACAAGAAGAAGAAAACGTTTAGAGGTGAAGAATTCTAGAAATAAAGTTTACATAAAAGTAATATAAGGAAGACGATATAAAAAGAAGTGATACAAATTAAACAACTATAAACTAATTAATTATTTACATGAAATTATTTTACAAATACTTTTATTATATGAAAGTATATGTAAAAGTAAAATTTAGACAGATATAAATTATGTCTGAGTTATTTACCTCCTCTTTGTAAATCACTCTGTAAGATAGTCTGATCTTTATTAAAGGATAATGATTGAAATTATACAACTATAAAATAATTAATAATTAGTTGATAGTTGTTATAATTACTATTTAAGCTAAATGATTAAATTAGTTATATAATTATGTAAAAATAATTTACAAATATCTGTCTAAATTATACCTTCCCCCCTACCCCCGAGTAAACTACTAAATTTGCGTCTGAATTATCTTCTTCCTCCCAGTAAATCATTCAATAAATGATAATATAATAATGGTATTGAGTGATATAATAAATAGTAAACAACAAACTCTTAGTAGTATACTTTATTGAAAATACTTTACAAATACTTTTTTGAAAATAATTTACAAATACAATGAGGATGATACCTTGTATCTTTACAGATACAAGGTATCATTCTCAAATCAAGCTCAAACTGTAGCTGCTTCCACAGTATTAGTAAAGTATTTTCAAAAAAATATTTGTAAAGTATTTTCAAGGAATTTATTATTTGTTAATGGCTTAAACCAATGTTATAAAATTGCTTAAAACTTCAATATTTTTTATTATTTCAGACAATTCAAAAAATTTTTATTTATTTTGGAAATTTTTTTTTTGTAATTTTATTTTATTATTCTTTTTCAATATTGCTTTTGCTTTTATTACACTATTTCTGTTATTATTTTATGTTAAATAAAATAAAAACTAATGGAAATTTTGCATTGTTAGTTAAATAAAAGTTACCATATTTATTTTGCAGAACTACTTAATAAATTACCATGCCTTGTCTCAGAATAGAAACCAATGTTTCAAAAGAGTCATTCAACCAAGAGAAGATGGCTAATGAGCTCTTGGAAGCTATAGCAAAATCAATGGGAAAACCAATTGAATATTGCATGGTTGTTATTGTTCCAGACACTTTAATCTTTACTGGTGTAGATAAAAGCAAGTAAAATTAACATATTTTTTATATATTATTATATTATCCAACATAATTGATTTATAGCATTTATATATTGAGTTTTATAGTAATATAGTTTATACAGTGTTGTATCATTTTTTTATGAATATTTATTGGTTAATTTACAGCATTACATATTGAATTTATATGATTTTTATGTTAATTTATATAGTCTTACATTCTCTTCTAATAAATTTATATTCATAAATTTTTTTTTTTAATTTTTTGCATTTTTATATATGATTAACTTCATTTAAATTATGACTCGAGTATTGTTGATTCTTTAAACAAACTTAATGTGCAATAGAGTTGTTAAATTTCTGTGGGGGAAGACAGGAAGCATTCAACCACTTAGCAAGTTTTTATTTATTTGTAAATGTTTTATTGCCAGAACTGATCAAATTTTTTTAGCATTACAAGTAATGCATTTATAGAAACAAATAAAAAGTATAATGTATATAAAATATCACACATCTGGTTTTATTACCGAAAGTAATACAAGATGTTGGACCTCCTATCATAAAACTATCCAAAATACAACTTCTGTGATAAACATAAACCGGAGAAGGAAACTGACCAAATCCAATGACTATATTCTGCTGAAGTTGCCTGTTAAATAAAAGCTTTAAAATTGATTTATAATTCTCAAAAATTTGGTACTTTATACTTATCAAAACCTGTGCTTCTACTTAAGCTTGTACTCCCAGGTTTTCTAATAGGAAAAGATTTATGCCATGTCATAATACTATGTCTATATGTTTATACATTATATATTATGTTATACATAATCTATCTGATTTCGTAACATATTTTTGGAGCATCTAAAAGACAAGATGAATGAATTAAAAAAGTATTTTCGACCACCGGTAGATTTTTCCCCATCTAGTAGGTTGAATGTGTTCCACCCGTGTTATATATAAACAATCATTGTTAAAAGCTGAAATCAGTTTTTTGAAGTAAACTCGATGAAAAGATTTATAACTCAAGATATCATTCATTAATAAACAAAACTTTAAGAGTGTAAGATTGCAAAAGGGATTCTTTGCATATTTTTTGAAACTTTTTAAAAAAATTTACATTTATATAAGTACTAATGTTCATGAATATGGATCGATACTATATCCATGATAGCTTACCAAAAGACAAAGCATACATAAAAATTATAAGCAGTAGTTTTAAGCATGCTGGGAAATATTTGAAAAGGTTGAATGTTTCCCATTGTCGAATGTTCCTGGTCTTCCCCTTTATAATTAATTTTTATTTAGTTATAAATATAATTGTAGAAATCTTACAATGTTATTTTATATTTTCTTTTAAAGCTGGTAAATTACCATCAGTAAATGCATCTCTAATGAGCATAGGTTGTCTTGGTCTGAAAGAAAATAAAAAACTTGTTGCGGTTCTCTATCCAATTATCCAAAAATATCTTGGTGTTAATGAAGGTCTCTGCTATATACAATTTAAGGTAAATTTTTATTTTTAACAAGCTTATATCAGGAATTATCTTTTTTCAGATATTTTCTAAAATCTATATATTTAAAATATGGTCTGAATGATCTCTGTTGGATATAGTTGCTAATAAAATAGTGTTCACCAAAACATTGCACAAAGTTGCTTCTGTTTTTAAAAATGAGGTTTGAACAATTCACAAATTAAGCTTGTATTATGCCAAAATATTGTTTTTCAGCAAAAGGTTTTTTGTAATGTAATGAAGCCCTTGATAACTTCCTTTTAGTATGATATCAGAAGGGCAATCTACGTATGCTTTTAAATATGTGTATCAATAGCTTAACAATCATATGGATAGAATGGAAAAATGCCAGGGATCCCAAGCAACTAAGGGGCCCTAAATATTTGAACGGAAAATTTTACTTGACTTCACAAAGCACTTACGAATGAGCTTTAATAAATGAACAAAATCAAAGAAAAATTGCATTTTCTTTGAAATTTAATTTAATTGCATTGCAATTAAATTGCAATTCAATTAAATCAATATACCAGCCATAACTTTCTTTGAAACAATAAGTCATCACAGCGTATAATGGCATTAAAGTTGAAAAGACTTTGTCCAACAAGGTGTTTTACTTCAGAATGCAGCGCTCAAAATAGTTTTTCAAAGCTTGTCGATCAAATGCAATTTATTCTCAAAAACAGGTTATTTTCCCTTGAATTTTTTGGAGTTTCCCTAAAAATAGCCGATCATTGATTGTTGATCGGCCGTTATTTCAAATGCTGAGAATGCTGTTCAAAAGTTTGAATTGATTGTTGTTTGGGAAAGATTACTTTGTGCAATTAACAAAGATTTTGTTGAGCTCCAGAGTAGATAAATAAATCTTTCTTGTGAAACTATTTAACTCTCAATGGCCCATACAGAACCTAAATTTACCTGTAATTTATCGGAGAGCATAATTTTAACTTCAAAAGAGGAATCAGGAAACTGGAACACCATTAACACTTTCGCATTAATCTGGAAGAGAAATGCCTGATTATTTCATGATGACTTGAAAAAAAATCATAGGATACAGGATAGCAAACTTTTGTTTAAATGATTTTTTATATGGGCAATTCCACTGTGGAAAATGAAAAAGTAGTCAAATTTTATTCTTTTTTTCGTTAACTTTTAGCGGTTAAATATTGATGTAGACACATGAAAGTATATTTAAAATATACCTTTAGTACTAAATTAAACTTATTCAAGTCATTTTTATGGTTCCGAAAGTTATAATTTTTCTCATTGTTGCATGACAAAAAAAGTTTCATTATAAAATGTTATTTTAACCATGAATTTATTTGCATAATCGGAATTAATTTAGCGTGAAAAAGGAGCTAAAATGTTCAAATTGTTGTTGGTCAAATCTTATACTTTATAAATTATATATATTTCAAGAAAATAATAAAAGAACATTTGCAATTTTCATGTAACATAAGTTAACAAAAACATGAAGTTTTTTTTTTTTTTTAAATTTAGTTAAAAAATTTAAGTTTTTTAATAATATATTAAATGTTATGTTTTTGCATTTAAAGTTTTGAATAACGACGCTTAGTTAAAGCACGTTTTATATTTAAACTTTTGTAACGTAAGTTAAAACTACATGCATTTACTAAAGTTCTGGCTCTTTTTCGTTAGCAAAATAAATTACGTCATTAAGTAATCATTAAGTAAAAAAATCTTTAATTTTTTTTTCAATGTTGATTAAAATTATTTATATAATTGTTTTTTTATTTGTTTATGCATACTTATTTTGGTTGACATAAATATACATAAATTAATAATTATAAGGATTATATAAATATTTTTATTTAGACATTAAAAAAAAAGAAAAGAATAATTTGCTATTCTCCTAATATAAAAAAAATTAGTTAGAATCTTTTTTGTTTTTGTTTTAGTGAAACAAATTGTTTGTAAAAGCAATTAAGGGGGTCATCTATAAAGCATGTCACCCTATTTTTGTCAATTCTTAACCCCTTCCCTCTTGTCACAATCACATTTATATGAACCCCCTCTGCCTCCTAAACTGTGAAGCATTTTTTCCGTCAAAAAAGTTTTTAAAGTTTTAAATGTAAATACTATGCAGCATTTTAAAAGTTCAACCTAATAAAAATATAGCAATGCGCATAAGTGTAAAACAAACAAAAGATTTTCTTATTTAAATGACTCAAATAAGTATTAATAAAGTTTTAATACTGGAATAATTTTTTAAAGTTGCTCTTGGTCTTGCTGAAAAACTTTTTTTGATTTGATAACTTTCATAAATTATTATAAAAAATCACTAAAGAAGAGTGCCACCAGTTTTTTAAAATTTCTTTTGTTAACTATTTTTAATGAATGAGTTCAATACTTTTGCAAATCTTTTTTTACGTAACTGGAACTCTTAATTATAGATATAAAAATCCATGATAAAAATTGCTCGGTAATGTAAGCTAAATACATTGTATCAAAAAAAAGTTTATTTTTCTTAGCCGGTCACCTCTGATAAACTATTTTATATTTTTTAAATGAGTATAGAATTCTTAACATCTTGTGAAAGTTTCTAATACAAACCGCTTTACTGATTTCAAGAAATCTGACCTAAAAGTTGAAGCAATTTTTTTACCTTGTTTTCTGTGTAACATATGTTTAGTGGCATTTTCAGTGATAAGTTTTCCCCCTTTTGGCCAACTCAAAACTTTTAAGCTTATTTTACTCTTTAGACTAGCATCTTTCATACAAAATAGCTAAAAGTCTTATTTATAGTTTAAATAGGAAAATATTTGATAAAGATTGCACATGTAACATAAGTTAAAAATAGAGTTGCCCATATGCTATTATTGACACTGCAAATTATCAGCTGCAGTCACGATTACAGGGCAACAAACAGGTTACTGATTTGTTCAAATTTTTGAATCCTCATTATCTCAAGAGTTTGTTGCATACTGAAATGGAACTTGTTGCTACTAAGTTTGATAAATCATATGTAAATGATAATCTTGTACAAGATTATCATTTGCAATGATTATTCATATGTAAATGATAATCTTGTACAAGAAATTTGCTCATACCAGCAAGAATTTCATAAGGACTTGTGCCAAATGGAGATTGTTCAAGATATTTTGCAACATCTAATCAAAGTAAACTATTTATTTTAATGCCAGAATTAGCAAATGCATGTGTTCTGTTTGTAACACTTCCAGTGACTGTTGCATTGTGGGAATGCTCCTTTATAATACATAAGACCATCAAAACCTTTTAAATTAGTAAACCTTTCAAATTAGTTTACTAATTAAATTCCTAAGATCGACTTTCTGGATTAGCTTTACTAGCAATAGAAAATGAGGAAGCTTAGAAAAGAAAAAGTAATTGGAGCTTTAGCTAATAAAAAGTCATTTGTAAATAAATTTTTTGAATGAAAAGTTTCTTCAGAAATGGTTTTTTTGTATTGGTTAAAAATTAACACTTCCAACTGTTTTTTGTTGTTATATTTTGAAGCAAAAATTAAATTTTTTTTGTGGGTAATTTATGATTTTGCAAGTTTTACATGAGATTTTAATTTGATGTGTATGTGTGTGTGTTTGTGTGTGTGTATATATATATATATATATATATATATATATATATATATATATATATATATCAGGCTTTTACAAGAAGACGTGCGATTTCACGTCTTTATATGACCACGCAAGTTACATTTTGCTATGACGGTTTGACCGCGGCTAATTCAAAAAACATTTTAGAAATGCGTTAAATAAAAAATATTATAAAAAAGTGAAATTAATTACATCAAAACTTCTTAACAAATGTTTTTATATTAGCGATACGATTTTAAATAAAGTAACAATTTACTGAAAAAAAGTTTTGTTTTTTAAATATAATCGACAGTTGTATATATTTTTTAATTAAAACATAAATTTTTTAAGTGTTCATTTCTAAAATAAATCTTATTAAAAAATAAAAAATTGTTTTGTTTTTATAAACGATGACATTCTACGACTATGAAAGTCTCTTTAACGAATTTAAATATAAGAATGATTAAAGTTAATGCATTTAAAAAGATAAAAAAAATTTCGTTAAAAAAAAAAGTTTTAGAAAACCGTTACAATTTAAAAAGTTTGATCTTAAATGCTTTTATATAATCGAAACGCTTTTAATGAAATAAAAAAAAAAACACTTCTAATTAATTTAAAAAAAAGTATTTATAAAATATTTTTTTATTTTATTTATATAACTATGTATTTTTTATGAGAAACATTTAATTTTTGAACATATAAAACAAATAAAAAATATATAAAAATGTTGAAACAAAGATAGAAAAAGTTTTTTAATGCGTCAATTAAATAGACTAAGCATTTTTAGTTAGTTAGTTAGTAGTTAAACTGTAACTGGACGAATCCAGCGAGTGTGGTTTATCACACTTTGACAGCATTAATCAAAATATATATTAAAAATGTTTAGTTAAAACTTCTTTGATTTGGCGTTATACTCATCTAATCTATTCTTAAATTGATTGACAGTTTTTGAAGTAACAACAGTTTCCGGTAAAGCGTTCCATAAATTGGTCGTACGATTTAATAAAAAATGATGCCGAGGTAAATAGTTCACAATTTCTCTTTCATATTTAAGATTGTGACCTCGAGTAATTAAATCAATTTTAACACTTGTATTAAATCCCCATGTTCCCTCCTTGTTTTCAATGTAGATATATCTAATATTTCCAATCTCTTTTCATAATTATTTTCCTTAATGATGGAACTAATCTAGTCATCCTGTGTTGAACTTTTTTCAAAAGTGATATGTCTCCTTTAAAATAAGGTGACCAAACAGGTACTGCAAACTCAATAAGAGGTCTAATAAATACTTTATACAATGTTTTAACTAATTTTGCATCAATTCGTGAAAATGTCATCTTTAACATACCCATCATTGAATTTGCTTTAGAAGTTCTTGATATAATTTGTTTTTTCCATTTCAAGTTTGTTGAAAAATATA